TCCTGCTATAGCCAAACTTATACTAATTAAGAATCTTTTTGAATTTTTTATTTCAGATAACCAGAATGCACGCAATCATGGGCACCGTTTTTTTTTACCATGTATTCGATAGGGTTTAATTAATATTTATATTCATTAATTTAGCTTTAAAAAATATTTTTTATGTTCTCTAAACATAATAAAATATATACATAAAAAGCTGATATTAACAATTTTTACTAGTTTCTTGTAAAAAAATCCCGAAAAAAGCGTGTTTTAGAGTAGAGTACCCCCTTAAGATTTTTGTCTCAAAATCTCAGGAACTTGCCTTTAAACGTTGTTACGATCACCACAGAACACCCTCTGAAGGTGCTAATTAATGATTTCAGGTTCATTGAAGAATTTTTATTTACTTCTAACGTATTTATTATTTCAACAATTTTTCTCAAGGATATTCTTTAATATCTTAATCAATTATACCCGATTTAGCCTGACAAACAGAGCTCTGCTGCGAACAACGCTGATAGTAATAAAGCACATGCCTATTCGCGACGCCTGGCTATCGTAATATGTGTGTACATATATGCGTTCATCCAAGTTTATGTAACAATAACGAATAATGTAACTTATATCATGTATTCATACACATAATAATCGTAATTGAGTATTTGTAAGAAAAAGAGAAAACTGTTTAGGTATATCTCACAAACGTTATTAATGTTACAAACGATATATTATATATCGTTTTAAAATTATCAATAAGTATATATATATATATAAGTATATATCTTTCGTAACAGATTTTCTAGAAACTGTGTTTTCAAATAGTATATCCTGTTGAAAACTTCCAGGTGGGTTCCCATGGAAACTTGTGAAGATTCATATAGGCTATTCAAAATCCATATGAAAATCCTTGTGGTGAATAAAAATCCATCTCGAAATATACATGGTGTATAAAAATCAATACGGAGATCTATATGGTGTGTGAAAGATCATATGGAAATCCACATGGTGTATAAAAAACTAGAGATGCACCATAAAATTATCGGATATCGAATATCTGGACAGAATGTAACATCGGATATCCGATATCCGATCGAATATCCGAGAAAGCAATTTTTCGAGTCAGATATCCGACCGGATTCCGAGAAAGTGTCTTCTAAAAAAAAAGCCTATAGGGAAAACGATTGTAATTTTGCAACAATGTATAAGATATTATAGCATCATGAATATATATACTTATTTTTAGAACATTTGTATAAGAAAAAATCAACAATTTGATGATATCGAATTTCAACCGGATATATTCCCGGATACTAACAAAGAGGTTGTATACATACAGGGTGTTCCGACCTTTTTTGCCAATCACTTTTGTGTAGATAGAGCGGACTAAACTGAGTCGAAAAGTCCTGTACCATTTTGCAATTTTCGCAATAGTTAACAAGATATTAATTACTAAAAATTGCAAAATATTGGTCTTTAATAATTTTTTACTCAAATACTATCAACTTTACAGAAAAACTGCAAGAGACAAAAATTATTAATTTTCTTCTCATAAAGTTCTGAGAATTTTTTCAGAATTTGTTCAGAATTTTTTGATACCGTATTTTTTCATGTTGGTAAAAATAAGAAAATGCAGTACTAAAAAGTTAATAAAAAATTCTGAAAAAATTCTCAGAACTTTATGAGAAGAAAATAAATAATTTTTGTCTCTTGCAGTTTTTCTGTAAAGTTGATAGTATTTGAGTAAAAAATTATTCAAGACCAACATTTTGCAATATTTAGTAATTAATATCTTGTTAATTATTGCGAAAATTGCAAAATGGTAGAGGACTTTTCGACTCAGTTTAATCCGCTCTATCTACACAAAAATGATTGGCAAAAAAGGTCGGAATACCCTGTACGCAGAATAGGGTCGCCAGCTAAGAATGCATGAGCGAATAGAAAGAAACAGAAAATGATATGGCCATCAGCATCCTTGTTTAATCGCGCATGTGCTGTTGACTTTCACTGTTAGGTGAGGAGATTTCAGAAGAGCAATATATCGATGCCGCCCCTCTCAGCTTTCAAAGTTCTATGCGCGGCGCAACTTTAGACAAAGATAAAGATGGTCATCCCCAGGCTTGGGCAATTTAGAGCTGCGAATAATTTCTTACGTATAATACATATGTATATGATACATATGTATAATACGTATAATACGTATAATACATATAAAACGTATAAAACGTACGTGTAATACGTATAACATACGGTATTATACGATATAAAAACCATGTATAATACATTATGTTTAATACATGTCCAACCCTGGTCATCCCGTATTCTTTCCTTTTCTACTATCTAACATTTCCACTTACAGGGGCCCTATGCCTTGTCTATTCTATATATATAACCTCTTTGGATACTAATGATATCCGGCTATCCGGTCGGATAGTAAAAAAGTGCCAGATAATACTGGATACCGGATACTTTCCGGATATCCGGTGCATCCCTATAAAGAACCATATGGAAATCCACATAGAAGGTATGAAAATATGGTAATCTGTAGAGGAAGGTCACCGATACCGACATACCACATTGTTTTTAGACAATATTTCTTAAACAAAAGGTAAAAATACAACTTCAAAAACATAAATACAAAGTAAAAAGTGTCTTCTATTAGATAGTATAAGCAATTTTTATAATACTGTTTGCAATTTTGCAATAATTAAGTTTTTCGTAAATTATGCAAAAATGAGCGTCTGAATGGGCTCTAAAACTGATATAGTAGGCAATAATACCAACATTCCTATTTTATAAATAAAGATATATCCTATTCTCTCTCTCTCTCTCTCTCTCTCTCTCTCTCTCTCTCTCTCTCTCTCTCTCTCT